GAAAACAGCATGAGTGATTGTCATCTTTTGTCTATGACCAGCTTAATGGGCCTATTTATGAAGATTTATGAATATTTATGAAGTAATTGCTTTTTGTTTTGCTGTACTTGACCTTTTTTCACTGCAAAACGTTTTTTCTTTTAGATAAATATTACATGAGAAGGTCTACGTCTAAACTGAGGTTTCTTAGTAACCCCATTATGATCTTTTATAGCACATTCCTTGTAGGAAATACCTATCTTAACCCTTTCATGTCCAGCAATCATCAAGATTTTTGGAACTAGTCAATTTTTGTAGTTTTGGTAATCACATATGCATATACTTTTTATAATAGGCAGATAAATTTACAGAAATGTGAAAATAAAACAGTTCTACTTTGTTTACTGTGTGATGTATTTTGTATTTATTAATACCATGCTAACTATTTGTAATAAATCATTTTCTTTAGGGATGCACCGATACTGGTTTTTCGGTATCCATTACCAATATTTTTTTGGGGGACTCGCCGATACCGAATACCGATACCGGAAGACCCATTAAGGAAGCCAGGCGGTGAGTCATTACACGGCGCCCAGCTTCCTGAGCTCCCTCGTCACTTGGTGACGAGGGAGCATGGAGCCGGCTTCCCATGGACAAAAAGGAAGATGTCACCAGCACTCCGAAAAAGATGATAACAGCAATTAAGTGCTCATTTTAGTCAAATGCTGTCTCTCATTAGCATGTGCTTTCTGGGCCACACAGTGTCCCCTTCGTCAGGCTCAGAGATCATGGAGACGGCTTCCCAGCCAATCAGGAAGCCGGGCGCCATGTAATGGCTTGCTGCCCGGCTTCCTGATACCTGAAATTTAGGTATCAAGCTAGGCATCAGAGCATTTGGGCGAGTACGAGTACTCAACCAAATACTCGGTATCGGCACTGACACCGATACTACTATCGGTATCAGTGCATCCCTAATTTTCTTATATTGGCCCCAAAAATACACAGGTTTTGATACATGTCTCGTATTTCAGTACTGCATACTTGATAAACAGGTGGGTATATTTTAGATTTCTGGACATTAAGCTTTTACTAATGGCTGTAATTCATGTTGTTAAAAAAAAATCCTAACAAAAATGAATTAATTGAACATACACTAAGAATGTTACCTGTCTCAGGTAAAACACTAACCTACTAACAAGCTGAGTTGATTTAACCAAATATCCTAGTTTATTATTTAAATGCTTTAATTACTTTTATTTTGCAGATTACTATTTACTTTTATACTTTTTTTTGCATATACAGTATCTACTGCTATCAAACAGTAGATATATGCAAAAAGTAGAATAAAAAAATTTAAACCGCTTTAAAAGCGGTTTAAACATACGGCTGTCTTCGCGGCGCGCTCCCGTCCAAAAGTCCGAAACTGCTCGGGCAGCCACAAAGCATCTTGGGGCGGGCGCATGCACAGTTCAAATTTTCGGCCGGTAGACGAGGAGAGACTACGAACGCGCGCACCCGCATGCAGACACCATGGGACAGGAAGTGCCAGCGAGGACAGAGGAGTCAGCGCTGGATCGAACACCAGCAGCAGCGCTGGAGGGACAGCTGAAAAGGACAGGAAAGAAGAGGAAGATCGGATTAAGAGACATCATTTAAGGTAAGTGCTTTAATTAACATTGGGGGGAGGGAAAAAAAATTCTGACTTTAATGTCACTTTAAATCACAAAGATGGTGAGATGGGTGGTGTATGTTTGCCGCAGCGCACTGAATGTCACCACAGGTCACTGCACAGCACACCACGCTGCTGTGCGGGGACTGACATGGAGTGTACACATTGTACATTACCAGCAAAGGCAGTGCGCGCTGTATCACAGAACTGCTACCATGCACTAACCCACCTGCTAAAATGCATTGTTTTAGCAGATGAGCTATAATAAAAGGGCTCTTGACAAAACCAAAACAACAAAAAACAAGCTTTTCTAATTTGGTTAGCGTTAGCTGTAGATAAAGATTATGAATCATATTCTATAATTTGTCCTCTTTTTCAAAGACTCTAAAATTCTGATTCTAGTACAAAGCATTGCAAAGTTATTTACAAATTAAATAAACTTTTTTTTTTTAAGTTTGCTTTTTTAACTTGACACTAAAATAATTTAACAAAAAAAGGAATAAAAAGGAAAATAAGATGAAATTTTCAATGCCCATTTACTTCTTTGTGGTGCGTTATGTTGGGCATTATTGAGGCACCCTGTTGAGAATGATTGGGCCTCCAACACATACTATCACAGTAAAAATACATGTAGTTCTTCTTTAACTGACATTATATTCAGGTCGCAGCTCATTCCTTTGATCTACAGATGAATGAAAGAGAGTAAATACAGAAGTAACAACAATGTTACTTTGTATCTCCTTATCCCTCTTCTGAACAGTGTTTATAAATATGAAGGTTGTTTTTTTGATAGTAGCTGTTCTATTTACATAGCAGTCCCCAGCTATCAATATGGCAGTAATATGCCGGCAAATGCCAGGAGGGGGAGCAGCAGTGGAGGAGAAGGACAGGGTGTACTACACATACACATTCCTTAGAGTTTTTAGGTGTGTGTAGCACTCCCAGCTTTCACAACTGGTTAAATGTAATATACAGTAATACATTTAATAAAAATTTATTTTGGAATACCCCAGTGCTCACATCTGACATCCTGTAAGGTCTCCATGAGAGTGCAAACCACGCTGTCCTGACTCCTGGTAGACAAAATTATCCCTAAAGCTGGCCATACACCTATAGATTATCTGCAGATTTTGTATGGTCAGATTGAAAAAGTGCAAAAGATACCTCCATCTACGCTACACTGTGTGGATGGAGGAATCTCCCACTGCGCCAAGCTTCAGCATCTTGCTAGTCAGCCCCGCTGCATCCAGTCAGATTGTTCAGGTATTTTGACAGCCAACGGAGCTGTCTAGCAAGAGACTGAAGTTTAGCCCAGTGGGAGATTCCTCCATTCACAAAGTTTAGGGGGAATCTGTTGAACTTTTTCCATCTGGCCATAGAAAATCTGCAGATAATCTATAGGTGTTTGGCCAGTTTAAGGCTGGCAAAAAAATATAACAGATTCCTCCATCTATGCTAGTGTGCATGGAATAATCTTCTGCTGTCAGCTACTGTATTCAGCAGCCGCTGCACCAGAGTATACATCTCTTCTGTCAAAAAAAGCTCCCACCTGCCTGCCATCAATTTTGTTTTTCTGTGCAGAGCCGCACATGCACAGCTCAGTGCACAGGTTATGAAGGTCCTATGCCAAAATGCAGCAACTCCTGTGCGCATGTGTGAGAATTACATCATGCTGGCCCAGCCAATGAAGATGCTAAAACCAGAAGTAGACCAGGAGATGAAGGCAGCACCGGCAACAGAGGGGAAAGGGGATCTTTTGCAAGATAAGTTAGCTGTAATGTGATAACATGCAGTGCATACTAGTACATTATGACAAACACCTCCAGACTGTTTTTTGTTTTTACTAACTACTTTCTTTGCACCTAACTTGTTACATTAGGGACCAGTAAACTGTATTTTATTGGCATGATATATTCAGAGATTGAACAACTCACAAGTTGATACAATATACATTGCCAGCGCCCACCATTTAGTTAAGCAAATACGAGTACGGTTACTTTTGAAAATGCCCGGTATCGGCAATGATCCCTACCCTAGTGCACAGTGACATATTAAACCTAACATTCTACTGTATGAGCATACGCCATCCCATGCACAGTGACACAATTTTCCTAGCGTTATATGACGATACCCACCTCCACGCTAAAGCACATTTATCCTCGCACTTTAAGAAAGATACCCCCATCCAAACTACAGAAGAGTGACATACACAACTTAGCATTATATGAGAATACCCCCATCCAAACTACAGAAGAGTGACATACACAACTTAGCATTATATGAGAATACCCCCATCCAAACTACAGAAGAGTGACATACACAACTTAGCATTATATGAGAATACCCCCATCCAAACTGCAGCACAGTTAACTATATAACCTAGTATTATATGAGGATAATCCCATCCACCCAACTTTAACCTTGTATTCTATCATACCCTTATCCAAACCACAGCTAAGTAACACATGTATCCTAGTACTATATGAGGATATCCCCACCCATGCTATATTTAACCTAGCTTTATACTGTGTGATCATACCCCCATTCCAAGCACAGTAACACCTTTATTCCAGCATTATTATGTATAATACCCCATCACAAGCACAGAGACACATGCATCCTATAGCATTATACACTATGGCCATACCCCAGCCAAAGCACAGTGATACAATTATCCTAGCACCATCCAGGCACAGTGACACAATTATCCTAGCACCATCCAATCACAGTGACACAATTACCCTAGCACCATCCAATCACAGTGACACAATTACCCTAGCACCATCCAATCACAGTGACACAATTATCCTAGCACCATCCAAGCACAGTTACACACAATAATCCTATCTTCATCCAAGCACAGTGACATAATTATCCTACCACCATCCAAGCACAGTGACACACAATTATCCTACCACCATCCAAGCACAGTGACACACAATTATCCTACCACCATCCAAGCACAGTGACACAATTATCCTACCACCATCCAAGCACAGTGACACAATTATCCTACCACCATCCAAGCACAGTGACACACAATTATCCTACCACCATCCAAGCACAGTGACACACAATTATCCTAGCTTCATCCAAGCACATTGACACAAAATTATCCTACCACCATCCAAGCACAGTGACACACAATTATCCTAGCTTCGTCCAAGCACAGTGACACACAGTTATCCTAGCAGCATATGAGGCTAGTCAGCTGTGATGTCAGTCTGCGTGCTCGGTGCTCCCTCCCTCCCCTTCTCCCCACCCTACACCCCCAGGAGGGGCAGATCGGTAGCCCTGCAGTGACAGGAGGCCTCTCTCTTGGATTGTAAACAAGCATTTATGGTGCACGTGTTTGGTTTGTATTTAGAAGGTGGCTCGTCCACGATCACGTGCTGGGGAGGGGACCTGGCTGTGTAGTGATGTCTTCTTCACTTCCTTCTTGTGATAGAGCCGCATTTGAACACAGCTGAAGGAAGCTGATAGCTCTCGGTTTGAAATTGCCACGAACCAGCTACACTGGATTGTCGGTGCCCTGCTGGAAGGGGAGCACAATGAGTGCAGGGGACGTGGTCTGCACTGGCTGGCTCATCAAGTCTCCTCCGGAGAAGAAGCTCAAGAGATATGTGAGTAGTGGCTAGACTTTGAATGCATTCACTTCTGCATACAGCTTGTACTATCTATGGAGCTATGCAGTGCGATGGAGAAGTGTCCTTATCTGATCCACAGCTACAATTACGTGTCACCATTTTCTTTCCTCCTGACTCCCGATCATTGGTTATCTTCTATTTATATACAGTTGACAGCTTTAGGAGGTGACAT